GCACAAATTACATAACACAAGATTATCAATTTTATTGTAGATAAACAAACCAATTATTGATTTTTCTTCAATTCCTTGAGGCGGAGATTTATATCTTCCACACAAATCAATATTTTTCAAACGTTTAACCTTTAATATTTGAAATTATGTTTTTGTAGCAAAGGGAGATATTGTTGTTCGTAATTTCAACAAGAAAAACACTACAATACATATATTTTGTTTATTTACACACAACATTTGAAATTTGAAACTGGCAATCCGGTAGACAAACTTCAGTAATTCTTAGAATGTTTCAGCAAATTAATAACACATAGCTTTAAAATGTACATTTTAGGAAGACTGAAAAATAAGCTTAAACCTGTAAAATGAAAATTACTGTGTGATAACAGTTTTGTTGTGTTTTTGGGCCCAAAGTTGAATTTTCTTCAAACACTCGACCTCCAGCGGATTTGACTTCATTTCAGTCGTATCAGCCACAAACACACGCTCAAAAGCTTCCTCTTCCACACATTTAAATTTATTTCCGTTGAATTCCAAAGTTTCGATTTTGAGACCTTGGAGAAAAGCTTCGGGAGATGTAAGATTGAGATTTTCTAAGGACAAAACTGACATTTCTTCAAAACCTTTGAAAGCATCGTTTTCGATTGTCTCTACAGGATTATCGCCCAAAAACACAGACATCGATTTTCGCCCTTTTAAACTCTCAAACGAATCGGCGGAAATATTTTTGATTAAATTACCAGCGAGGTGAATAGATTTAAGGGCAGGTTTGTCCTCAAACCAATGCGAATCAATTTTATCTAATTTGTTGTTATTCAAATTAATCGAGGTCAAACGAGTCAAATTATTAAAAGCGTGCGGGTCAATATATGAGATTCCATTATCACCCAATTCCAAATACGTCAATTTTGGGAGATTGTTGAAAATTCCTGCTGGGATCTTCGAAATCTCGTTGTATTGTATTAAGAGGTTTTTGAGTTTTGACAAGTTTTGGAAAGCTCCAGGCTGAATTTCCCGAATCGAATCATCTAGCAAATACAAAGTTTGCATAACTTCGACATTTGCGATGATTCCTGCTGTTAAATTCTCAGCAGGACTGTAGCCAAGAAGACGATAAGTGCCCTCGGGTTCCACCACAAACGTTAAATTATTTATTTGAAAATGTTCATCACGCCAACCAAAAACACTGAATATCACGCACAAAAAGATGATTTTCAGAGACATGTCTGTGTTTGAGAATGGACTGAGTCAGTTTCAGCAATTGCACTTTATTTATGCACAAATTACATAACACGGGATTATAATTTTATTGTAAACAAGCCAATTATTGATTTTTTTAATTACATGAGCCGGAGATTCAAATCAATTTTTGTTTTTTTGATTTTGTTGTTGGTAATTTCAACAATAAAACATCACAAAAAATATGTTTTGTCTATTTATACACAACTCTATAAGAGTAATAAATGTGAAACAGTGGAAATACATAGTGAAACGTCAATTTTGGTAGACAAGCTTCAGGAATTCTTAGAATGTTTCAGCAAATTAACAACGAATTGTTCTAAAATGTACATTTTCTCAGGAATGGGAGATAATCACGGACCTGTAAAATAAAAATTACTATGTCAAAACAGTTTTGTTGTGTTTTTGGGCCCAAAGTCGAATTTTGTTCAAACACTCTGCCGCCAGCGAATTTGATCTCATTTTAGTCGTATTAGCCACAAAAACACTATCAAAAGCTTCTTTTTCTACACATTTAAATTTATTTCCGTCGAATTCCAAAGTTCCAATTTTGAGACCTTGAAGAAAAGCTCCGGGAGATGTAAGATTGAGATTTTTCAAGGACAAAACTGGAATTTCTTCAAATCCTTTAAAAGCATCGTTTTCGATTGTCTCCACAGGATTATCTCCCAAAAACAAAGATGTCGATTTTCGCCCTTTTAAACTCTCAAATGAATCGGCGGAAATTTTTTTGATTAAATTACCGGCGAGGTGGATATATTTAAGGGCAGGTTTGACCTCAAACCAATGCGAATCAATTTTATCCAATTTATTGTTACCCAAACGAATCGAGAACAAACGAGTCAAATTATCAAAAGCGTGCGGATCAACGTACGAGATTTGATTATCACCCAATTCCAAATACGACAATGTTGATAAATTGTTGAAAATTCCTGCTGGGATCTTCGAAAGCTCGCTGTATTGTATTATGAGGTCTTTGAGGTTTGGCAAGTTTTGGAAAGCTCCAGGCTGAATTTCCCGAATCGAATCGTGTTTCAAAAACAAAGTTTGCATATCTTCGACATTTGCGATGATTCCTGCTGTTAAATTCTCAGCAGGACTGTAGCCAAGAAGACGGTAAGTGCCCTCGGGTTCCACCAAAAACGTTAAATTATTTATTTCAAAATGTTCATCACCGAAAACACTGAATATCAGGCACAAAAAGATGATTTTCAGACACATATCTGTGTTTGAGATTAAACTGAATCAGTTTCTGCAATTGCACTTTGTTTATGCGCAAATTAGATAACACGAGATTATAATTTTATTGTAAACAAGCCAATTATTGATATTTCTTTAATTATTTGAGTCGGAGATTCAAATCAATATTTTTGTTTTTTTGATTTTGTTGTTGGTAATTTCAACAATAAAACACCACAAGACGGATGTTTGTTAATTTACACACAACTCTACAAGGGTAATAAATGTGAAAAAATGGTAGACAAGCTTCAGGAATTCTTAGAATGTTTCAGCAAATTAACAACAAATTGTTCTAAAATGTACATTTTCTGAGAAATTTAAAATAAAAATTACTATGTAAAAACAGTTTTGTTGTGTTTTTGGGCCCAAAGTCGAATTTTGTTCAAACACTCAGCCTCCAGCGAATTTGACCTCATTTCAGTCGTATCTGCCACAAGAACCCGATCAAAAGCTTCCTCTTCCACACATTTAAATTTATTTCCGTTGAATTCCAAAGTTTCGATTTTGAGACCTTGGAGAAAAGCTCCGGGAGACGTAAGATTCAGATTTTCCAAGGACAAAACTGAAATTTCTTCAAATCCTTTGAAAGCATCGTTTTCGATTGTCTCCACAGGATTATCACCCAAAAACACAGACATCGATTTTCGCCCTTTTAAACTCTCAAACGAATCAGCGGAAATTTTTTTGATTAAATTCCCATCGAGGTGGATATATTTAAGGGCAGGTTTGTCCTCAAACCAAAGCGATTCAATTTTACTCAATTTATTGTTATCCAAATTAATTGAGGTCAAACGAGTCAAATTATCAAAAGCGTGCGGATCAACATACGAGATTTGATTATCACCCAATTCCAAATACGTCAATTTCGGGAAATTGTTGAAAATTCCTGCTGGGATCTTCGAAATCTCGTTGTATTGTATTATGAGGTTTTTGAGGTTTGGCAAGTTTTGGAAAGCTCCAGGCTGAATTTCCCGAATCGAATCGTCTCGCAAAAACAAAGTGTGCATATCTTCGACATTTGCGATGATTCCTGCTGTTAAATTTTCAGCAGGACTGTTGCCAAGAAGCCGATAAACGCCTCTGGGCTCCTTTAGAAACGTTAAATTATTTATTCGAAAATATTCATCACGCCGACCGAAAACACCGAAAATCAGGCACAAACCCAAAAAAGTGATTTTAAGACACATGTCTGTGTTTAAAAATGAACTGAATCAGTTTCTGCAATTGCACTTTATTTATACACAAATTAGATAACACGAGATTATAATTTTATCGTAAACAAGCCAATTATTGATTTTCCTTCAATTCCTTGAGTCGGAGATTCAAATCGTCCAATTTCCGGGCGATTCGTTCAGCATCGCAGTTCATTTTCGAATAAATCAAAACCACGTGTTTGGACGATTTGGAGGCCCACAAATCAATATTTTTCAAACACCCACAATCCCACGGATTACCATCGATGTGAGTTGTAGCAGCGACGAAAATCCCATCCAAATTACCATTCACACACTCCAACTTATTATTATCAATTCTTAAATCATTTATTGTGACTCCGGTTAACAAATTTTCGTCCCATTCACGCAATTCGTTACTATCTAACCACAAATTGTTGATTTTTTCCAGACCTTTGAAAGCGTCTTTGTGGATTTGCTTGATCAAATTGTGGCTCAACACAATGTTGATGGTGAGCGACACCGAACCGAATTTTTTCTCGCCTTGGAAGTTTTTGAAAGCGTTTGGGGGAATTTCCTCGATTAAGTTGTTCTGGAACGAGACTCGTGTCAACATTGGGGTGTTTCTAAACCAGTTTTGGTCCCAAATTTTCACCAAATTATCAGCAAGGTTAACGTTCAACAACTCGGGCATGTCGTCAAAAGCCCCAGAAGATATCACACTAATCGAATTGTTGCCCAAATCCAAAACTGCAACATTCAAATTATTGAAAACACCACTTTTGATTTCTTCTAAATTCTTGTTATTCCGGATTTCTAATTTGCGAAGTTGGGGGACGTTTTTAAACGCCCCTGGTTGAATTTCCAAAATGTCGTTATTTGAGAAAATCAACTCATCCAAATCCAAATCTGAAATCGAGTTTTTGTACAAAACGGGAATTTCACTATCGATTATGTCAAGTCGATCAAACAAGACTTTTTTCGGAAGGTTTTCTTTCAAATTGTTCGATGATTTGATAGTTGTGTTGAATTTCCGGGTGTACATGTTGTAACCAATAACTTGGACATTTTTGAATGTGACACCTGGAGTCGATTTGGAGGCCACTAGAGTCACAAAGACGCTAAACAACACCGGTTTTAGTAACATTGTGGAGTGGTGAAACGTTTCAACCAGTCCAGTTTTTATAATAACAATTATTACGTTTGTTACTAATAATTTGAGTTCAAGTGTGATAACCCCAAACAGAGGAATTGAGTCAATTCGAGCGAAATGTTTTGTTGCGTGATAAAATGTTTATTTATCAATTGTAGCAAGAAAAAATGTAAATTTATGCTTGTTTTATCGTCCGAAGGCAAACTTTATTGCTTCCTCACATCTCTATAAAAATGTGTTGTTTTTATCGCTTTCCATCGGCATGCGGTATCAATTTCAAGGTGCCATTTTTCAGTTAGTGTCAAATCTAAAAACCAATAAAGTTTTTATTAAAAGGAAACATGTGTTTGCTGTAGGTAGAAAAGCGGGGACACTTATTTACCCAAACGTATTTATATTCAATTATGCACATTTCTATTAATAAAATTTGACACAAGTGAACAAGGAGAAGCCATCAATTCCGGGATAATCCCCTAGATTCTATTCACGTCAATATCCAAATTTTGGTAATCTGACAATGAAATCTAAAAATTTTATTTCCTTATTATTTACGTTGTTTACGACCGATGCATAAATCGCTCTTTTGGCGTTGTTTTTTGATCGAGAGTGTGTTTTGTGGTGTGGAGTCCTTGTGAGGATTTTGTTGAAAAAAATTGGACAATAAATGAGATTTGCGGCTGTGTTATTGTCAAAATTGTAAACGATTCGATAAAAAACATTAATATTACAATTAGAAAGGAAAATTTAGAAAAAAATAATATTTTAAGGAAATAAAAGTAAAAAATTGGAAAAATGAAAGCTACAAAATTTTAATATAAAAAGTAACATAAACTATAAATAAAAGTTAGAAAAAAATATTACAAGATATACTAAAAAGAAAAAAAAATAAGTAAAAAAAATTAAAAGTAGTAGAAATATAGAGCTTTGTTTGAACTGCAAATAAACATTAAAAAAATGAGAAAATTTGAAAATCAGGCAAATAGGAAGAATACAAAAATGCAATCTTTAATGAAATAAAAATGGAATATTTGACAGATTGGAAAATAGATATTAAAGAAAATTGAAAAAATAACGCTTTAAATAAAAAATTTTCAATCTACAACTAGGTATAAAATATAAATATTTCAAGAAAGAATGTGCTGTAGCAGTAATAAAAATTAGCTAAAAATAAAGTTTAATGAAATAAAATTACATCAAAATTGCCAAAAATAGACTACCAATAAACATTAAAGAGCAAAAAATAAAGTATAAAAAATAGAAAAATCAAATCAGAATTACTTTTTAGAAAAACTGTATCTGATAAAAATCAGTAGTTTATATTTATCATGTAATCACAAATCCACGTTCATTAATGTTAACTATGGCCTTATTTTTGCTCTTATTTTTATATTTTTTGTTATTTGTTACTCCTATTTATTTTTATTTTTTATTTTCTTATTTTTGATGCAACAACTTGTAAAGTTTATTAAAGTAAATCAACAAATATCTATTATTTGTAACAAAAATATTTTAGAACATACAAAAAGAATGGAAAAGTAAGCAAAAAAGCTTTGAACGACAAATAAATAAATATTAATAAAACAGAAAAAATAGAGAAAAATTGGAGAAGTAAATTAAAAAAATACAAAATGAAGTATAAAGGTTAATGAGATAAAAATAAAAAAATTGAGCAATTAGAAAATAGATATTAGAAAAATTTGAAATAATAATACTTTAAATACAAAATTTTCAATCAAAATCTATAAAATAAACGTCCCAAAGCAGAATGTGCTGCAGTGGCAAAAAAAATTGGGAAAAATGAAATTTAATGAAATAAAATTAACCAAAGATTGGAAAATTTAATCGAAAAATTGACAAAAATATAACTTTCATAAAAACTTTTAATTTAAAAAGTTTATATCCGACTAATTAAGAATTACAGAGCAAAAATAAAGTGGAGTGTAAAAATATTAAGAAAAATAGAAAAATCAGATCACAGTTGTTATTTTTTAGAAAAACTGTATGAAAAAAAAAGAACAATAGTCTATATTTATTATATTATCCCACATATACAGGGTGAATATAAAGTATTCAACCAAGCGGTTTTTTTTAATCATTTGCTTTCAGAAAATAATAATTTATATAAATTAAAGTAATATAAAAAATGTGATAGTATTTTGAGTACGAAATTTTATTTTGTTTTTGAATTATGCGATTTTTTTTGTCAAAATTTCAATTTATGTAAAAAAAAAATTTGAAAAAATTAACTATAAAGTAGATAGTTGTAATCCTTAAATCATAACTATTACGAGAAAAATGGTTTTATAGTGGGTTGCCATTTGAAAAAATTTTTTTTTGTAGAACTCAAAAACAAAAGAAAATTTCGAAAAATTTTATTCTTGATAAAACATCATATTTTTATAGCACTTTATCATTCATCAATTAGTTTTTCCAAAAAGTAAATAGTTTAAGCGGAAAACGTTTGGTTCCATACTTTTTATTCACCTGGTATGTCCATTATTGTCAATTATGATTTTATTTTTGCTTTTTTTTTTGATTATTTTTATTTTTTTTATTTCTTATATGTTCTTTTTGCAACAGTTTTTACAATTTATTAAAGTAAATCAAAAAAAAATTTCTTTTTTTAGAAGAGAAATATTATAGAACATACAAAAAAAACGAAAAGTAAGCATAAAATAAAAAATAGTGGAAATATAAAGCTTTGAACAACAAATAAATATTAATAAAACAGAAAAAAATAGAGAAAACTGAATAACAAACAAATTGGAAAAATACAAAAATATAAACTTCAATGAAATATAAATAAAAAAATCCGAAAAATAAAGTTTAATAAACTAAAATTACGCATGTAATTGAAAAATTGACAAAAATTTAACTTTGATTATAAAAAATTTTAATTTAAAAAGTTTATGGACTACCAATTAACATTACAGAGCAGAAAGTACTGTAGAGTGTAAAAATATTAAGAAAAATAGACAAAACAAAACACAATTGTTTTTTTACACATCATGACATTATTTTTTGCTCTTGTTTTTTTCTCATGTTTTTATTTTTGACGCAACATTTTTATAATTTATCAACAAATATGTAATTATATTTTTTGGAACAAGCGATTTTGGGATAATCCAAAAATATTCAAAAATTTGGTAATATGACACAAAATCTCAAAAAAAATTTTTTATTATTCGCGTTGTTTACGACCCTTGCATAAGTCGCTTTTTTGGCGTTATTTTTTGGTAGAGATTGGTGTTTTGTGGTATGGAGTCGTTGTGAGAGTCTTGGTGTAAAAAATTGTCCAATAAATGCGGTTTAAGACCGATTTAATATACATATGGGGGAATTTGCGGCTGAGTAATCAGAATTTATTGTCAGAATTGTAGTCGATTCTAGTTTATCTTAACGATTTCTTTAATCAAGATGCGCCGAAACCTACAAGGCAGTTTTAGACATTAAATAACGGCGAGCCGTCGTCATGCATAACTAACTTCAATATTCGTTTTTCATGTGACTTGATGTCGCATTTAAATCACTCGATGATCCGGGCATCCGGACTTAACGTGTTTGTGAAGAAGAGGACGTTTCGTCGTTACTGCAGTAGGATCACAATTCAAATCCATTCGGACATAAATAACGTTTTTAATGTAACATTTACGGCCGTACCAAAACCGGTTAAGTAAACTAATAAATAGCCCGTCGAACACTTGGACGTATATTAAAGCCGAAATATCCTAATTTGGACGGACAAGGTATTGAATTGGGATTTTATTCCGGTAATCGACGACTCGAGCATAAAATCAAACATAAAGAAGCTTTATAACAGAATTAACGCAAAACACCACGCAAATCACGACACTTAAGTGAGACGACACTTTCAACCGAATTTTTAGAGCCACGGGACACTTAATGGCCCGCAATTAATTCCACGCCCGGTTTGCCTGCGACTTTTACTGATATAGACATCTATTTCACCAGATACCAGCCTCCAAATCGACTTTTTTTACTTTTCTTTTTCATATAATTGCAGAGAGAAATTTTTGATAGGGTAAATTCGGGAAAGATGGACCAACGGGAGAAATGAATTTTGCAACTTAGAACTAAGACATTTAATTCAGCAGTACGAAAGTTTAAATCGAATTTTTTTTTTCATATATTTGGAGAGACAAACCTTTTTTCTTCTTATTTCATTAATAGGGTAAATTCGGAAGAGATGGTTTGTGAAACTTAGAATTTAGACATCTATTTCACCACAAACGAATGTCTAAATCAAATTATTTTATT